ATTCCTGCTCCATGCTCCCAAAGCACCATGAGGATGACTTCAAATCTGGGAAACAAGGCAAGCCTAATAAAAATGAGTGAAGTCTGGGGTCTATCAACTGATCCTAGAGGACTCCACACTCACTGCTACACTGACAGCTACACAGCATTTAGAGCTCAAACCACAACGGAACAGCCAGTTCCAAGAATGCTGCTCATCTCAGGAGTCAGGTTGTCCCTTACTGGTATCAATATACAAGTCAGAGATTTGTCCACTCAAACTTAGGTAATGATCTAACAGATTTTAGCTGAACCAGGAAAACACACAGATTTGGCTTCCAGAGCACTGCTTCACAACCAGGAAGCCAGTGCAAAAATCAAGTTTTGTCTTGAAAATGCAAGTATTCTCAAATCAGGCTCTGGAAGGACTTTACAAGCCCTGGCAGATGTCAAAAGAAGAAAACTTGAGGAATGACAGGAAAGTTCCTCCTATTTGGGAGGAACTTGGAAGGGGCTGAGGAAACAGTCAAGGCAGGAGAGCCTGACAAAAGACTGACCATTTCCAAAAGACAAACCTTACATTCCTTGCTATGTCTTCATCTGAGTCCTGTGGGACTCAGATCATGGGACTCTGGTGGCTCTCTACCAAAAGACTAAGTGGCTGCACCGGGACCTCCTTTCTCCTAGCTGGAGTAAGAACTTAGCCAGACCCATTTAGAGGGGTGAAAAAGAGAATTCACATTACATTTGAAAGATGACTGTAAATGATTCCCTTTTGTGCTCACACCTAGTATTGTTCAGTAGCCCAGTGCCTCAGAACACAAGTTACTTGGTCACTTTTCTTTCACTGCCTACATGGAAGGGTTCGATCTTATTTTAGTTGAGGGATGAGTGGCTTTGGCCAGTTCTAGTTCTGTAAAAGTGCACCTAAAGAACATCATGCATAATAAACTGTGGAGGAGAGGAACCTTTTGTCAAGATGTCTAAGCGTACCATCAGATGCAGGCAAAGGGAACTTACAAGAGGAGAGAAGCCCTATAAGAGGACGATGACAGAGAAGCTCATCTCAGAAGTCTCCTACCCATTAGCTTCCCCCAAACTCCAGCCAGTAGTTCCCTCCCTCCCTCCTCAATAAAGATCAGCCTCTTAATTGCAGCCATCTGCCTGGTCAGACGTACCACACTGAATTGTGGTAGGAATTTCCATGGCTCTTCGACGTTTGTAGCGCAGTTCACTAGATGGAGGCTGGTTCCAGTTTGCTGACAAATAACCAAATTCATCCCAGAACTTGATGATACCCCTCTGGGCTGGAAAACAAACAAACAAGCATCCATTCGTTATGGAGCTCTTGGCTGCCCTCTCCCCTAATTCCCTTCCAGCTGCCAAAGTTTTCCCTCCCAGCCCTTAGTAATTGTGAAGCTTCATTACCTATAGCAACATCCTTCCAATACTGAGCCAAGTGCTCTCCCATGGCTTTCAACAAGTGTCGATACTCTTTGGCATCAGCAAAGTCTTGTTTATTATGGGTTGGCTCCAGAACCAAATAGGGCACATCCACCACACCTACCACTCCACCACATGCCCTGGAAGAGGATGTACAGTTACTAACATCGTTAAACTACCACGTCATTGTCCAGAGAAGCAATATTGGAACAGCAGATTACACACATGCATTCATCCATTCCCACAGCAGCACTATTTTTGATTTATCAGCTTTCTAAATCATTCAGATTTGAGGTGACATACTGAAAAAAGTAAGGTGGGGTCAAATATTTCCTTTCCTAGACTGACCAAAAATAAATGTTTGCTTTCAAGACCTATTTGCCCTGTTCCTAGAAGGAAGTAATATTGCTACCTGTATTCATTTGTTAGCCAACGGAGACCCAAAATTCAACGGAGACCCAAAGTTCAGACCCAAATTCCAGTATTGAGCACAAGAGTCTCATGCATGCATGACCAACACCTTGATAGAGAACTATCTCTCTTGTGAAATGTGAAATACTGGGAAATATTTAAATATTTTATTTGTCAGAATCTAAACCTTTTTGCTAAAGGCTGACAAAATGACTGAAGCCTCAAGCTCATGAAGAATGATTATATTCCTCACAGAAAAAAGTTACTGAACAGCCTAAGTTACACATAGGAAAATGTCAGGCTTAAACAAAGAGATTGCTAAAAAAAATCTCCAAAAACTCACATGCCACCCTCCAGCTGTGGGCCCACCTTCTCATACATCTTTATCAGTCGACTGCAATTATAAATGAACATGCCATCCAATTCCCGCTGCTCAATATTCACACCAAAGATAAAATTCAGTTCTTTGGGTTCCTTCAGTGCCCTGGAAGAGAACAAAACAGAGCCTCAGAGATGCAATACAGATACCAATTCAGGCTGGACAGTTTATTCGTTCAGCTAACTGTTGATCTGGATGCATTTCCTCTTTCATAAATGGATTCTGTTTTTTATTTCAGATTTATTTTTTTCAAAAAATTACATTTGACTAGAGTTTTATAAAAGTACTGTTAGGTACAGGCTTACCCTCTCCAATGTGAAGCATAGATTATTTGGGTTATTATCTTCTAGATGTGTACCTCTACACTACATAAGCCATGGAAATTAAGGTTTTGATACAAAAATATAGCCTCAATATTTAGATTCCAGGGAACTTTTCATAACTAAATTTTGTAATTCTGCTTCACCAAGTTCCAAAACCTGGGGGACTGCAACACACAAGTGAGGCAGAGTTTTTTTCCTTGAAATGACAGGCCAGTAATTTGCCTGACTTCTATCTTATCTGTTCCGTAGCTGACTAACAAAAATCGGCCTCAGTTATGTTTGTGAGCACGTATGAATTTCTGAACTTGCATCTTCGATTACCAGTAATTTTATCTCCTGTAATGCAGAAAGCCTTAACAGACTTAGATCTCTGTGATATTACAACTTTTCTTTCTTTTTTAAAATTCATTTTATTTTATAAACAGAACCATTGCTCTGTAACAGACTGAACTGTTTAGGTTCCTTAGCTTCCCTTAAATCCATGTTGAGCATTTTCCACAAAGAGATTCTTTAGTTTTAGGCTGAAGGCAGCATCAAATATAAGGCCAAAACTTATAATAACTACAAGGCATAGTCTATGCCTCTGTCCTATCCACCTTTCTTATTTTTGACTTCCTATCTGTATTTCTCATCAAAATCTTCAACATTTATGTGCTTTATCCCAATTAGGAATTTGATGTTTCTTTAAACAATAATTGAAGACACCTGCAATTCTTTAAAATGATCTGTTGATCATCTATTGCAAATATCAGATATTGAGAGAAACTGAATTTTGTATTCACCATCACTATATAATAATCTGCAGTTATAAAATGGAAGGCTGTCTTAATATTCAAGCATCTTAAAATTAATCCCTGAAATAAAATAATTTCTTCTCCATTTTTTGTTTTCATAAAGTCACTTTCTTACTTACGTAAATGTATATGTCATCCTTTAACATAACTTCCTTTAAAACCGAAGTTCCTTTCTAGAACTGTAAGGGCCCCCAAACAGAACCAGGAGGGTTAAAAAGCCCCAAATCAAGAGGCAGCAATCTGTCTCTCTTTGAAAGCAAAGTTGATAGCTGTTTCTCTAGATTTTTCAATGATATGTGAAGGAGATAGCAATGTATGGAAAAGAGACATTCAGTACAACAGGAATGATGTGTTGAATTACAAGATACATTAAGTATAACAGGACTGATGTGCTGGTTTACATCAACTTTTGTTGATAACACATATATGACAGAATGCCTGTTTTGTTAGCAGAAAGCATACACATCTAACCATTTTACAAGCTCACCCATTTTACAAGCAGCTATAAACTCAAAGAGAGATTATTCTTTAGTAGATGATGATCTAAAATAAGTTAGTAGGAAGACACCTAGAATAGCAGCTTTCAATAACCTAAACACTTGCTAAGAGGTGTTTTGAACACTATCAGTAGAGAAACAGGGCTGGAAAATATCACTTTGGTCTCCTGTGATTGAGGTAGATAACTCCTGTGATTTGAGGGTGCAAGTAGTTGTGGCAAAACACTAGACTCCTCATTCCTACCTCAGGCAAGGGATTAATTCTAATTTTCTAACTTCTGGAGAAAGATGTAAGGCCTTGAATTTCATGTAAAGATATGCACTCTTCTATGAAGAATGAAGAGATGCCCTTAGTATTTAATACAGATAACAGGAAATCAAATTATCTGCCAAATCATGGAAAATTAAATTGGTAGTACAAAGACCAGCCAGTTACCTATTATCATTAGGACTGTAGTAGCTGTTCTATCTGCTGGATTTATCATTTGAATTTACATAGAGTTTGGGACCTTTACACAGCATTTGTTTCAATAACACACAAAACACCAGAGAAACAGTAGGAAACTGTTCTAGAGCATCCTCTATAACTCAAGTTAAGATCTTACTGAGAGGCTACAGAGTTTAACTTGTACAGAAAGATCCTTATATCTGCACATCTTTCAGGAATTTATTTTGTTTTCTGGCTAGAATATAAGATTATGAAAAAGCCTGACCATCTAAAAAGTATCTCTGATTAGCAAGGATGAATGCTGGTATATGCAGGAAGTTACCTGCCAATCTAGAGCTGGCTGATCATTTGGTAATTTTAAGTCGATTACAAACGGCCAAATATGTACATGAATTAGGACAAAAGTTTTCTTCCTTGTTGTTTGTTTGCTGTCTACATCTATTCTCATCACCACATATTTGAAACCTGGCTAAACACAATTTTTTGAAATAAATACAAGAAGGTATTTTCTAAAAAAAAGCTTATTCAGATTTTGTGGCCTACACAAAAGTAGAATCAAGACTTCTACTTTCTACTAAGAATCAAGTAGAAAGAACTGTTGAAGAAATTTTCATTTTAATTTCAATTTTTCACTTCCATCCACAGACACTAAAGGGTATACAAATGTTATTCTCAAAGTTCTATACTCATCATCCAGCTTTTTGAAGAAAAAAGTGTTTTCTCCATTGAAAGAAGGCTGAAAATTGTGTTGTGGTGAATGGTGAATGGCGCAGAGTCAAGTTGGAGGCCTATGGCTAGCGGTGTCCCCCAGGGGTCAGTCCTGGCTCCAGTCTTGTTCAATATATTCATCAATGACCTGGAGGAAGGGACAGAGTGCACCCTCAGCAAGTTTGCTGATGATACTAAACTGGGGGGAGTGGCTGACACACCAGAAGGCTGTGCTGCCATTCAGAGGGACCTGGCCAGGCTGGAGAGCTGGGCGGAGAGGAACCTCCTGAAGTTCAACAAAGGCAAGTGCTGCAGGGTCGTGCACCTAGGCAGGACTAACCTCCTGCACCAGGACAGGCTGGGGGTTGACCTGCTGGAAAGCAGCTGTGCCGAGAAGGACCTGGGAGTGCTGGTGGACAACAAGTTAAACATGAGGCAGCAGTGTGCCCTTGTGGCCAGGAAGGCCAATGGTCTCCCGGGTTGCCTTAGGCAGAGTGTTGCCAGCAGGTGGAGGGAGGTGATCCTGCCCCTCTCCTCAGCCCTGGGGAGGCCTCACCCGGAGTACTGTGTCCAATTCTGGGCTGCTCCCCAGGACAAGAGAGGCATGGCACTCCTGGAGAGAGTCCAGCGGAGGCCTGGGAAGATGATGAGGGGACTGGAGCATGTCTCCTGTGAAGAAAGGCTGCGAGAGCTGGGCCTGTTGAGCCTGGAGGAGAGAAGACTGAGCGGGGATCTCATCAATGCCTACAAGTATCTGAAGAGGGGGGTGTCAAGAGGATGAGGCCAGACTCTTCTCCGCGGTGCCCAGCGATAGGACGAGAGGCAACGGGCGCAAACTGAACCACAGGCAGTTCCATCTGAACAGGAGGGAAAAGTTCTTCCCTGTGAGGGTGACGGAGCACTGGAAGAGGTTGCCCAGAGAGGTAGTGGAGTCTCCTTCCCTGGAGATATTCAAAACCCGCCTGGATGCGATCCTGGGCAATGTGCTCTAGAGGACCCTGCTTGAGCAGGGGGGTTGGACTAGCTGATCTCCAGAGGTCCCTCTGACCAGGGCAGCCCAGAGAGCTCGTTAGCAGCAGCCCCACCTAGCTAGAACTTCCCAGGAGAAGTTAAGTCAAGGTCCCCTGCAGGAGTCCTTGCCCAGCTCTCCCTTCCTGCTAGCAGCAAGCACCGTCTAGTTCCTCGGGGGTCCCCAGAAAGTCTCCACAACTTCCAACAAGGCCCACAAAAGGCCCAGGCAGAGCCCAGACACTGCTGCGCAAACTGCTGCGTCTGTTCGCTGCCTCTGTTGGCTGCGCTCTGGGAGCTGCGCTCTAGGCCTGGCTCTTATATAGGCCTCTGCCTAGCAGTGACTCACAAGGGTGCTTGACCCACCCAATCAGGAGCCACCTGAAACAAAAGCCCCAACTCCCTCTGACCAGGGCAGCCCAGAGAGCTCGTTAGCAGCAGCCCCACCTAGCTAGAACTTCCCAGGAGAAGTTAAGTCAAGGTCCCCTGCAGGAGTCCTTGCCCAGCTCTCCCTTCCTGCTAGCAGCAAGCACCGTCTAGTTCCTCGGGGGTCCCCAGAAAGTCTCCACAACTTCCAACAAGGCCCACAAAAGGCCCAGGCAGAGCCCAGACACTGCTGCGCAAACTGCTGCGTCTGTTCGCTGCCTCTGTTGGCTGCGCTCTGGGAGCTGCGCTCTAGGCCTGGCTCTTATATAGGCCTCTGCCTAGCAGTGACTCACAAGGGTGCTTGACCCACCCAATCAGGAGCCACCTGAAACAAAAGCCCCAACTCCCTCTGACCAGGGCAGCCCAGAGAGCTCGTTAGCAGCAGCCCCACCTAGCTAGAACTTCCCAGGAGAAGTTAAGTCAAGGTCCCCTGCAGGAGTCCTTGCCCAGCTCTCCCTTCCTGCTAGCAGCAAGCACCGTCTAGTTCCTCGGGGGTCCCCAGAAAGTCTCCACAACTTCCAACAAGGCCCACAAAAGGCCCAGGCAGAGCCCAGACACTGCTGCGCAAACTGCTGCGTCTGTTCGCTGCCTCTGTTGGCTGCGCTCTGGGAGCTGCGCTCTAGGCCTGGCTCTTATATAGGCCTCTGCCTAGCAGTGACTCACAAGGGTGCTTGACCCACCCAATCAGGAGCCACCTGAAACAAAAGCCCCAACTCCCTCTGACCAGGGCAGCCCAGAGAGCTCGTTAGCAGCAGCCCCACCTAGCTAGAACTTCCCAGGAGAAGTTAAGTCAAGGTCCCCTGCAGGAGTCCTTGCCCAGCTCTCCCTTCCTGCTAGCAGCAAGCACCGTCTAGTTCCTCGGGGGTCCCCAGAAAGTCTCCACAACTTCCAACAAGGCCCACAAAAGGCCCAGGCAGAGCCCAGACACTGCTGCGCAAACTGCTGCGTCTGTTCGCTGCCTCTGTTGGCTGCGCTCTGGGAGCTGCGCTCTAGGCCTGGCTCTTATATAGGCCTCTGCCTAGCAGTGACTCACAAGGGTGCTTGACCCACCCAATCAGGAGCCACCTGAAACAAAAGCCCCAACTCCCTCTGACCAGGGCAGCCCAGAGAGCTCGTTAGCAGCAGCCCCACCTAGCTAGAACTTCCCAGGAGAAGTTAAGTCAAGGTCCCCTGCAGGAGTCCTTGCCCAGCTCTCCCTTCCTGCTAGCAGCAAGCACCGTCTAGTTCCTCGGGGGTCCCCAGAAAGTCTCCACAACTTCCAACAAGGCCCACAAAAGGCCCAGGCAGAGCCCAGACACTGCTGCGCAAACTGCTGCGTCTGTTCGCTGCCTCTGTTGGCTGCGCTCTGGGAGCTGCGCTCTAGGCCTGGCTCTTATATAGGCCTCTGCCTAGCAGTGACTCACAAGGGTGCTTGACCCACCCAATCAGGAGCCACCTGAAACAAAAGCCCCAACTCCCTCTGACCAGGGCAGCCCAGAGAGCTCGTTAGCAGCAGCCCCACCTAGCTAGAACTTCCCAGGAGAAGTTAAGTCAAGGTCCCCTGCAGGAGTCCTTGCCCAGCTCTCCCTTCCTGCTAGCAGCAAGCACCGTCTAGTTCCTCGGGGGTCCCCAGAAAGTCTCCACAACTTCCAACAAGGCCCACAAAAGGCCCAGGCAGAGCCCAGACACTGCTGCGCAAACTGCTGCGTCTGTTCGCTGCCTCTGTTGGCTGCGCTCTGGGAGCTGCGCTCTAGGCCTGGCTCTTATATAGGCCTCTGCCTAGCAGTGACTCACAAGGGTGCTTGACCCACCCAATCAGGAGCCACCTGAAACAAAAGCCCCAACTCCCTCTGACCAGGGCAGCCCAGAGAGCTCGTTAGCAGCAGCCCCACCTAGCTAGAACTTCCCAGGAGAAGTTAAGTCAAGGTCCCCTGCAGGAGTCCTTGCCCAGCTCTCCCTTCCTGCTAGCAGCAAGCACCGTCTAGTTCCTCGGGGGTCCCCAGAAAGTCTCCACAACTTCCAACAAGGCCCACAAAAGGCCCAGGCAGAGCCCAGACACTGCTGCGCAAACTGCTGCGTCTGTTCGCTGCCTCTGTTGGCTGCGCTCTGGGAGCTGCGCTCTAGGCCTGGCTCTTATATAGGCCTCTGCCTAGCAGTGACTCACAAGGGTGCTTGACCCACCCAATCAGGAGCCACCTGAAACAAAAGCCCCAACTCCCTCTGACCAGGGCAGCCCAGAGAGCTCGTTAGCAGCAGCCCCACCTAGCTAGAACTTCCCAGGAGAAGTTAAGTCAAGGTCCCCTGCAGGAGTCCTTGCCCAGCTCTCCCTTCCTGCTAGCAGCAAGCACCGTCTAGTTCCTCGGGGGTCCCCAGAAAGTCTCCACAACTTCCAACAAGGCCCACAAAAGGCCCAGGCAGAGCCCAGACACTGCTGCGCAAACTGCTGCGTCTGTTCGCTGCCTCTGTTGGCTGCGCTCTGGGAGCTGCGCTCTAGGCCTGGCTCTTATATAGGCCTCTGCCTAGCAGTGACTCACAAGGGTGCTTGACCCACCCAATCAGGAGCCACCTGAAACAAAAGCCCCAACTCCCTCTGACCAGGGCAGCCCAGAGAGCTCGTTAGCAGCAGCCCCACCTAGCTAGAACTTCCCAGGAGAAGTTAAGTCAAGGTCCCCTGCAGGAGTCCTTGCCCAGCTCTCCCTTCCTGCTAGCAGCAAGCACCGTCTAGTTCCTCGGGGGTCCCCAGAAAGTCTCCACAACTTCCAACAAGGCCCACAAAAGGCCCAGGCAGAGCCCAGACACTGCTGCGCAAACTGCTGCGTCTGTTCGCTGCCTCTGTTGGCTGCGCTCTGGGAGCTGCGCTCTAGGCCTGGCTCTTCTATAGGCCTCTGCCTAGCAGTGACTCACAAGGGTGCTTGACCCACCCAATCAGGAGCCACCTGAAACAAAAGCCCCAACTCCCTCTGACCAGGGCAGCCCAGAGAGCTCGTTAGCAGCAGCCCCACCTAGCTAGAACTTCCCAGGAGATGTGAAGTCAAAGCCCCCTGCAGGAGCCCTTGCCCAGCTCTCCCTTCCTGCTAGCAGCAAGCACCGTCTAGTTCCTCGGGGGTCCCCAGAAAGTCTCCACAACTTCCAACAAGGCCCACAAAAGGCCCAGGCAGAGCCCAGACACTGCTGCGCAAACTGCTGCGTCTGTTCGCTGTGCTCTCAACCGGTTTAACTCTGGTTACAATTATTTCTTGTGATTTCATGGCCTATAACAGAATTTACCAAGTTTTCTAAGAACTATTTCTGCAACTGTAAAAGCCATTTCACTTCAGCTTACTATCATCTGTTTGCCTCCCTGAATCTTATCCATAGATGAAAACCAGATTAAGCAGAAGAATGAAAAAAGCTGATGGGGAAAACTGATAGATGTCTACAAAAAATCAGGCAAAATTCAAAGATTTCACTCAGCAAATAAGAGGGGAATAGCAAAAGCAACTAGAAGAGCAATTTCAGATACCCCTTGGTTAAACAGGTGAGCAGAACTGCTCACCCCACCACACAACGCAAAGTAGGAGAAACATCTGAGCATGTGGAGTGAACAGCTTGGGAAAGTAAGAGCTTTCAGTTGCCTTGTAACTCACCGCTGCTTTGCATCCTTGATCCTTTTCTTGACATCAGCCTCCCTGCGCATGGTGATTGCAGAGTTCTGGACTTGACGTAATGTCACCTGCAAATAGATTTCACACAGTAAAACTAAAACCAACTCACTTCTCTATTTTTCGCCCTGCAGGAAGATCACAGAAATGTTTTAAAACGTAAAGAACTCACTAACTGAAGGGCAATAAATAGCACTCCTTTAAATTTAGGGCAGCACTTTTTGCTGGGCCGTTTAAACAGCTACACAATGGATTAGAAGAAAATACCTCTTCAACAGAAACCACAGGGTAGAGTGATGGAGGCAAAACATTCCAATACTGTTTTTTCATTACATCTCATTAAATAGTAAAATGA